GATTAGAAGGCTGCTTAGGAGTGAAGTTGTTTATAAAAAAATGGAGTAAAATGTCTGGGATACTGATGGGAGAACACCGATTGTAAATCTACAGTAGCACAAAATAATTCCTCAGGTAATTTTCAGTTAAAGGAGCCAGACATCAAAGTCAGGTTGCGTTTTTCAATTTTACAAACACACACATGTATATGTTCCGTATATTTATATAATCATATATATTTTAACGCTTGCCAAAGCAGTAAAAAAAAAAAAGAATAAAAAAGAACAACAAAGTGAACATTTAAATAATATGCAAGCATCTAGACAGTATAGGTCACATGCAAAGAGGCTAGGGTCACGCAGAAATTGTCCATCAGCCAGACAAGCAGAACTGATTTGGATGCTAAATAATGGTTTAGATATTCAAAATTCTATATATATGCGAAAGGCTTCACTGAACATTGGATCTTCCCATCAGAGCTGCATTCTGCTTATGCATTCCTTTACGCACCCTTAGTGAAATGCATATGAATTTTAAACGTACAGCCCTGAACGATAGAAGGGTGTTTAGTAAGGTTTTGCAGGTCAGAGCACACATAAAGCTGGGGACCCGCGAGTTTTTGCATGCGTGAGCTTCGCTGAATTCTGTGTGGTGCGTGTGTGACTAGCCCAGGGCGGGGGCAGGGTGGGGCATGGGAACATCCCAAAAAAAAACAGGTTTCCGCAAAACCGGAAAAGAACCAAAACAAAACCCCGCCCCAAAGCCCCAAAAAACAAGCCAAGGGGGGAAGCAGCCTTAATGCAAAAAAAAAAAAAAAAAAAAAAACAACAACAATGTCCTAAATTTTCATAATCACCATCAGATGGAGCAATAAATCTAAATTATCGCCCAGGTGCTGTAACAACACAAACTCAAATACCGGAGAGATGTAATGAGCTGCTAGTCTGGATCCATAAATTGGAGCATCTCCAGCTCAAAATTAAGTGTGGTTTCTCAATCGATGTTTGTGGTTACTGTAAATTGAATCCCTTTTGTACTCAGAAAAAAAGAGGAAGCCAACCTATAGGACATATCTCACAGCCGAGAGAAGTCACATCATCTTTAAAAAGTCTCATTTTTGGACGATCGCTACTGAAGATAAAGTTGCAGACAAAATCTGCGCTCCGGAAAAAGCCATAGCCAAGTGGAGGACACCCAGATGCCGTTCTGACATCTGAAGTAAAGAGTACAAAGTTTTAATCGGTGAAAGTGTTGATTTCGCTTCCCGCCTGATCCTCAGCGGATCATGTGATGTTACATTAGCAAGGGAAATCGGTCCTTCCATTTAAAACTAGTGTTTGTTCAAAAGAAATCCTTTTCTCGAGAGGCGCTGAGACAAAGACAAAGGCAGGCGAAACAATGGCTTCGCACCAGAAGGCCGGGGCAGCAGTGTGAGAAGGACACGGTTTCGGAGGAGCTCTCGCCTGTTCGCACGAAGAAAAATCCCAAACAATACAAACTATAGAAATTCCAGGCCTACCTTTGTAGATAAAAAAAAAACAGATGACAGTCCACACACTCCCTGTGTAGACCAATTAATGGATGCCGACCAGTTCACCAGGCCTGACCAGAGAACATGTTGGGCTCCGGACACTTTTCATAAAGCACATCCATCTACAGAGTCAATGCTCGTCCTAGAGCAAAACATCAGCCTGTGTTTGTTTGCAAACACTGGTAGACCAGTAGAGATTGGATCTGGAAAGTCTGATTCTATCTTGAATGAGATTTATTTCTGGAAACAACACTTGAACTGTTTTTTTTTCCCCACTAGTAGATCAGTTAAGACTATTCCTCCCCTGTTTTTACACAACACAGAGCAGTTAAAGAGGTTTCAGAAGTTTTAGAATGAAATACAAAACACTGTTGTGCGGATTTGGTTTTAACACATTTCCAATCAGGCAAAAGTGCCCCATTCAGGCTGTGCAATACGATCTCGAAGCCTTCATCATTTTTTTATGGAATTAGCGTGGAGCTGAGAACACCTTATTCTCTTGTTTACACACGAAGGGGGATCAAGAATTTCACACACTGGATAACAGGAAAGCGAGTGTGAAGGTGGAACATTAAAAAGATGCCCCTGCCTTTCCCTTAGCTGACCTAGATCTAAAGACTGGCGCAAATCTTGTAATCTATGGCTTTAGATGGTTCAGATATAATGCATTAAAATTTAACAAGCATATAACTCTAAGTTTCCATTAGTTTTAGTGACTTTTCTGTCTTTTCCATTTCATATTTACATGCAATAAGCACTATTTTGTCATTTACACCAGGCCTGCTTGAGATGTTAAAATATGAATGTCAAGTAGCATCTCCAACAAAGCAAACAGTATTATGAAGATGCAGCCAGTTTTAGAATATTAATGGTTCAGTAAAAGAAACTTCAAAGGAACTTTCTGAAACATTCTTTGAGGGAAGGTGTTGTAAAATCGTATCAAAGATGATAAACAAAATCAGAGAATCTGCATAGGTTATATACGTCCCTGCAAGCACATGTCTTGTTGTGTGGTCTGTTGCTAAGGGATTGTTTTCATAGCCATTTTTACCTCATTACACATATTTCATGTATTTTAAGTAGTGGTGCCTGGAGTGAATTCCTTCAGTTCAAAAAAAAATATCAAAGAGAGAGAGAAAAAGAGAAAACGTCAACTTGCATCGGCCTAGCAGAAACAAAGTCACACTTTGCTGCTTGAGAAATGTCTCTCAGAATTGTGGATCCAGGAGCCCATAGGAGACAGGTGAGCAGCGCGTCTGCCTGGGCCTGATCCAGGTCTCCCACACCATGAGGCAGCCTGACCCCAGCTCCTGTTGGAGCTCACAGCCGGGGTGCTGAAAAGCCCCAGCACAGTGCCCCTGGAGCTGGAGAAACATCAGCTGACTACAAGGACTATTATGTCTTTGGGAATAGTGGGGAAAAAAAAAACGCAGTTTCTCCTTATTGAAATCACATGAATGAAATATGCCGATAAATATGCTGAAATGCTTGTGAAATTGCGCAGCTTGTTGAGTAGGGAAAATAACAAAAAAAGGCAACATAATCTCGTGAAACACATCCCTGTACATATTTCTTCTCAGTGCTCTGAAAGCAGCTCACTGCAGGGCCCTGGGAATAGTCTGGAGTTTACTTGGAGATTGAACGAGCCCCTATGATTTAAACCCCAAAATCCTCACTTAATACCACAAGAATCTATGTCTGGTGGCAAATGTTTTCACACAAGCCCTAAATCACTCATGAAGACCGATACTGCAGTCGTTGCTACCGTGATTTACTTTCCATCAGATTTACTGATTGAGAGGAACATTACCAATAAAGAAATAAAATGAGACCACTGTGTGCAAGTTAAGAACTAGGGCCATCCCGAATGAAGAGGTAAAGCAGAGGCTATTGCATTAACCTGGCAGAAGCTGCTTTAATAGGGTCCCGGGCTTAAACTGATATATCAATTTACTTCCCTTTAGAAAACTTCAAAGCACAGCTCATTCCTGCCAGTGGTGTCTGCCCCCCATCAATCACTGTGCTCAACTAGTATCATCGCCTTTGCAACGGATGGGACCAGAGCAAGGAGCTGCTGTAAGCTGCAGCCTGCAAAGTTTACTCACTCGTAGCTCGTATTTCTAATACGCGCCGATCAGATAGCTTTAATTCCTGCTCGGAAAAGCAAAGCAAAAAAAATCCACCATGCCTTTCAGAATCTCTTCATTTATATTCAGGTGCTTGGTCTCGTACTCAGAGGTCCAGTGCCAGCAGACAGAAACAGCCATTTCATGCTGCATTTGAAGATGCAAAACTCCCGCTGTTTTCCCTTTTCAGGTGCATAAGCGTTCATGAACAGACCATATTGTTTGTCAAACTTATCATCATAATTCCAATATGTGTAAAATTTACCAGCACTAAAAGGCAAGCTTTTATTCTTTATTTACTTAACTTGGATCACTTTTAAAGATATCAAAGACCCTTTCACAGTAAGAACCCTGGAGGGCTGTAATATCACTTCCAATGTAACACCTGAACAACATGCAATATGTGCTTTAGCGATATAAAAGGCCTCTTTGTATTAGTTTGTGCTGCAGACGTCATGTTAACCAGTTTTGTCAAACAATTCCCAAATAAATACAATGACACACACTCAGTTATATGCATGTTTAAATCCATCCCACAGTGAGGGATTCAGGCATGCATACATTTCATTCCTCTTAAGTGGTAGTTAAAGTAAAAAAAAGTCTGTTTGGTTCTGAGTATTTCTCTGAAAGATTATTTCAGCTTTTAAGTGTTTAGTGTAAGTTTCAAATGCATTGACACAACACCTGAAAAGAAGAAACATACAGTATAGAGTTTCTGTCTCAATACTGTAAAACGAAATGATCCACCTCCAGTTCTTTTTGTATCATCAAATACTTTGTTGGGGATAAAAAATGCCCTTTTTATTCCAATTCCTCAACCACAGGCACAACTCAATATCTTCACATGCGCTGTACACATGAATAGTGAATTGTTTTTTTTTCTAAAGATTTGGATTAAAAAGGGCCCTGACCATATTCTGCTCTTTATTATATGATTAATAATACAGAAATATCTACTTCATATCTAATATTCAGAAATGTCATTATTCCTTCAGCTTTTGATGAATAAAGCACATGAAGGGGTACAGCATACTTTGGTATGCAGCATACCGACAGGAAAAAAACATTCCATTAAAATTTGAAGAAATAAATATGATGATCCAGAATTAGGAGAGATTAGGAAAAAAACATCCTGGCAGGAAAGCTTTGACTTTAAAGTGATCAGAGACATCTTTTAGAGGGAGAACAAAGCCAGCAAATATTTTAGGAAGAAAGAGCTACATGCAAGTTGAGAAAACAAAAGGGTTCATTAGAAAGAACTATGCAGTGTGAGTACAAGTGTAGCATATATCAGATGAAATCTCTGAATACAAATCAGGAGAGATGAGAGGGAATTTTACATCAGGTATTGTCTATCACCCACCTCATCTGCCTGTGTGATCACTACTTCTGGAATGCAGCTGCTTCTGTCATCTTTTTCATCTCCTTCCTGCTTTTCTCCTCCGCTTTGGCCTGCTGGGTCCGGAGACCCAGGGTCCCACAGAGCCGGGAGCTCTCCGTCCTCGTCTGGGAAATCAAGGCTGATGAAAGCCTCCGGATCGCATCCCTGGCCCCTGGTGAGGTTACCGTGGGAGGGTGGCCTCAGGATCACGCGTGGCTCGCCCTGCATGGCAACGACAAGGGTCCAGGTGTTACGGACAGGTACGGGTACCGGTGTGTCTCCCTCCCCCCTTCCTCCTCCTCCTCCTCCTCCTCCTCACCAGCCATGGCAAACTGCATCCCTTGTCCAGAAACACGGGGACAAAAGAAAACACAGTGTGAAGACCAAACACCCAGTCCCACACTAAGGATTTTCCGACCTCTTGTTTTAACTCCGTTTTTCCCATTTCCTTTTTTCAAACTCCAGTTACAGTCCAGAAGATCAAACAACGGCAGCCCGACGAGTTTTGGTCTCCGCCAGGGAGCAGAGGCGCAAACGCCATTTGCTGCGCTTGTGTGACCTTTATCGCACAACATCTTTCGAGAGAAGGCCTGCTGGAGGGGCCTCACGTCGATCAGAGGCTAAAACCCAAGTGAGATGAGCTGCAAGGCCTCTCCTTGCCTTTCTTGGGGCGCTGTCGAACCCGATGTTGCCTTTATTGACTGCGACAGTGTGCCCTGCTGCCCCCAAAAAGAAAATAGATCACATTTGATTAAATGGGTGTGAACAGGCTTGTAATTGCGCGTGTGCGTGTGTCTGGGCCCTCGTGTTAAAAAACAGACGTCTTTGCTGTTAAATTTCAGTGTCAAATATTTGCCGTAAATTGCACTAGCCAACTCCTGCATGCACAAAGCAGCACATTTCTATAGCTTATTCAAATTAAATTACTGTACTCGGTGACAGGCATTTTCTTTCCCTCTCTTAACTACGGGCAACTCAGCTGCCTTCACATTTGTGTGAATGATTCATTTTACTGTCAGCGATATAGCGCAGGGCAGGCTTTGTTACAATTCATGCGTAAAGACAGTAGGAAATTCAACGCACTTAGTGTAACACTGCACTGTAGAATTTGGCATTACATGAGAGTGAGAGGTTACTTCTAAGTCTGACAGAAACCTGATCCGTGCTGCCTAATTACAGAGCCTCGCCTTCGCAAAACTGACACAAATGTTAGGCCAAATTAAATGTTGTCTAATTAACTTACATATACAAGACTTCAAAGCAGGCTGGCTACATGTTATTTAGCAGAGTAACTGGAAACACCAGGGGCTGGGAATTATCAGTCAGTATAGGTTTGCAATCTCGGCTCAGGCCCGCAAGGTCAGACTTTCACTCTCTTCCCCTCTCCTCCGTTTGCATACGGCTTGGAAAATTTACAGGCTAAGTAAAAAGAAACAAGGCCAGCAGTTTCACACCGTGGGGATGAAGAGCTGATAGAGGCACTACTGGCACGGTTTGGAGCTAGTCTGATGACCTGCCTGAAGTTGTTCCGAATAGCCTTTGTGATGGGCTGATGACTGATAAACACAAAACAAATATCTCGGGTAATTCAGGAAAACACACACACAGCTATGACAACTGAAACTGCAGACTGACAGTTGTTTAGATAAAGAGGCTTTCAAAAGAATCCCTGTTTGTTATACACACAACTGTTTCTGTGTAAATTGCAAAAGAAATACGATTTGCTCCGCCAACTACCTATCTTCATGTTTTGTGATCAACACTGTATCACGCAAACACTGCAAGAAGGAGAGCACTTTCTTTTCTATAAAGCAGTTCCACTCTCTTCAAGGCATAAAGGGCTTCTTTTCTCTCAAAAAGCTTCCATTACATGCTCATAAAACCTGAGTTCTCTTGCACGCCCTGTCATCTCAGCAAAATCCAAGCTATTGTGGAAAATGAAATAACCTGAGGTTTGAGCTACTTTGAGAATCCCAATTAGCATATTTGCCTCTAGTGTACGACGCCGATTTCTCTAAAAGGACAGTAATTTTACAGTTTTATATGCATTTTTTTACATTATTCTCCACTTTTATACTGAGTACACTGTGGATACATGCAATGGAGAGTTTTAATTTGCAGTAATCCGTGCAGTCTGAAAGGTAGATTTCACACTTGAAAATGGAATGCATTCTAAGCAGATATTTAAATATTTAGCTCAATGCATTTAGTTCTTTTTCTTCTTTAGCATGACCGAAAAATTGAAAACAGAATATTCGTTTAGGCTTTCAGCTTTCTTTTTCCTCCTGGTATGGCACACCTCAGAAATGTCACATTTACAAGATGCCATTAAGCTGTGGAGCACAGTACAATACAGATCCCTGCTTCACTTAGTATTGTATATAGGCCTTTGTGCAACTGTCCATTCTCTTAAAGTGCTAAGGGAAGACTGCAACATAGAGCAACATGTGTGCACAATTCCCACAGACCTGCATTTTCCTGGATGTACTGTATCAGAAGCCAGGGAGGCAGAGCTGCAACACTGAGGGGGGAATGAAGGGGGAACCGAGATGGAAGGACAGCAATATAAAATGAGCAGTGTGGATTAAATGTCACTGGAAGGGGGGACTACCAAACCCACATTCTGCAAACTGGGGCTCTAATCGCCTATATTGTCCTCCAGGCCTAGTTCTTACCAATTAGAATATCTCTGAGTGTCAGCAGGAGAACAAAGATCAAATAAATGTGAAATAAACAATACAAGCGAACAGACACCTGTTTTAGGGAGTTATACGAATGGAAACGAGTACTACAGCTAAGATTACATTTTCAAGATTACTACATTTTCAGGCTGTTTTTTACCTATGAACAGTTAATACAATGTTTCACAATATGTCAGAAAGGCTGACACACCTCTCTTCTGGAGAGCCAGAGGCAATATAAATGTATTAAAATGAGTGTTTATATAACTCTGTGTAACTATAACACAATATATATGCAGGGAATGTTTTTCACAGTTTGAATCTGACTACCACAGCTGTCAATATTTAACGTTATCTAATATTTGAAAAATAATACCAAACCCAAAAAATAAACCGGAACGTGTACTCCGTTCACACCAGTCTTGTTTGTCTTGTTTGTTATTGATGCACTCTTGTCTTTAACAACGCCTTGTTAAACCTTCACAGTCAGAATTAATCTTTTCTACGCTTTCTTCCAGTTGCACAAAATTCTAATTACTGCATTCAAAACATACTCCCCCCCTCCCTTATGCATCTAAATCCTACTGTGTGCCGAGATCAAAGCCTTTTAGTCTAAATAACCTTTATTATTTCTTATTAGCAGGTAACTTAATACTGTTTGACAAGTACAGCAGTTGCAGCAGTCAGCTGCTGATGTCTGTACATGGCCCGTTCAGAATGAGAAGGAAACTGTGAGACATCTCGGTAACTAGGCATTAAGCATAGTTCAGCCATCATACTGTGTCCAAACCAAATACTTCTCTCCAGTTAATTTGGGCAATGAATCCCTCTGGGTCCTCTGCCATCCACTGGTATAGTTCATTAAATCCCAATATCCGACTTTCCACGCTGTATCACTGAAAGCAATTACACTCAAAATGTAATTAAACTTTAAATAAACAAGAGCTCTTTTCTCCCTTGTTTTTTTTTTTCTTTTTCTGGGCTTCACGACGACAGTTTAGAGCTGACAAAAACTTGAGCCCGTGTCAGAGTGTTTTAGGGGTGTGTGGGGGTGGGGGAAAGTAGCTAAGTGTTTTTTTTTCCACCCAGTTGCAAAGGGGTATTCGCAGGAGCAGTAGTTCTTCATCCAATTAGAGATCCAAATACTTTGCGTAATGTGTTACCGCTGGGAATTAAACTTGCATATCTCTTACAAATGAGTAATGTGGCAGGACTGGCTCTCCAATGAGGTGTCTTATTGAAATATCCCAGGCTGTTGCTCTTGTCACAGCTGTCGTTACAGCCATTTGCACTTCCCCTGTATTGCTTTCATTACTAAAATAGAAATTTGTGTCCTAAGTGCTGTAACATTACTAATGCTAAATATTTAATTCCCCGGGGTTCTAATTATGGTTGAGTACTGGCAACATGGATCCTTTTCTTCTTTTTTTTTTTACATAACAACTGTAAAAGCAATTTGAGCATTTTTCAATTAATTAAACACATAGTTTATAAGTAACCTCTTGTCACTTTGCCCTCCAGGACCTTAGCTAATTTGTGTAGAATACATTAAAAAAATGTTTTGGATTGCTTGCACAAATATGTGATTCCGTTGTGCCCCTAATATTTTTAAGAAGAAAAAGCGTTATGGGGAAAAAAAACGAAAACAACATTTTGTCTTGATGAAGAGGGAGCAATGTCCATAAACACACTTTGTGCCATCTCCCTTATTACTGCATCTTTATCAACTTATTTATCCATGAGCCAATCTTACCCAGGTTGTGGCACAATAGTGTTACTAAAAAGTGTTACTGCATTATAGACCAACTAGCCCTTGTTATATTTTTAAGGTATGGGCAGGATGCCATGTGGATGATAGCACATTTGGTTGAAATGATATTGTAAGTGCCTACAACAGCTGTCAGGGGCACAGATGATTTAGAGAGGTTCATAGGAGGATTAGTGTCCCCAGCCTACTGGCTCTAGACTGACTTTGAAGTCTGCTCTTCTGTTGGCTATGAGAACTAAGAAAATAAAATGTAAAAAAAAAAAAGTCAAGGGCCTCTTTACTTGTTGAGGTTGCAGCAGCCGTCATTCTAATATAAAGACATAGCCAGGGAAAAAAAAAAGGCGAGCAACATCCTTTCCCGTTTATTTACTGATCGAAAGGTCGCCCGAGTAACTAGGCTACACTGGAGCCCCACATCTCTCAACACTGCAGAACCGAGCTGGCTGGCCCGGCAGCAAATGTAGGCCGAGAAATGTGAAGTCCTTGCAGAGATTTGCAGGAGAGGCATTATGGTTATTTTCCCCCCCCAGCCCCAAATGTAACACGAATTGCGACAGGCCGGAATAGGAAAGTACAACACCACTCGCTCGGTGACTGCAGAGCGAGCTCAGCCCTGGCAGGCACCTGCAGTGGGGTCGCAGCTAGCGGCTGAGCCCTGTCCCTCTGGCTGGACAGGGAGCTCAGCTCGACGAGTCGAGTAAGACAAAGGCTCCTGTCAAAGGGGTGGATCACAGGGAGGCCATGAAATTGAACTAATAGTAATTATGGGATTT